AGCTTGATTTAACCCAGGTAGTTTTGACTCCCAGGCTAGCACTCTATCCATTATATTATACTACCAACAACAACAAACCAACAAAACAGAAAATATGTTCCTTATAAATGTTTTCCTTAGTGAGAATCAAATATAATTTTTTTCCTCCATGGAAACTAGAAAAATTTAAATGTAAACAGAGTTCTCTTGGTCAGGAGTCATCTGGCTCTTTAAAAAAATCAGGGTCTGGTAATCTAAATCCATACACAATAACTTCCCATTTTCTCTTTTATCTATGTGTACTTCACTATTAAAAAAATAACAGAAACATTAAGTCCTCCTGTAGGGAATATATACACAGCTGATTAAAGGACACAAATGCCTACCAAATATTAACCTGATGTGCACAGCTTTAAAATTAGGGAGAAGGAAGTAGGAATTACCTATTTTATCTATCTCTTCCTTCATATTCAGTGGACTGTTGTCTAAAATCCAGTCTCCTCATAGCATCTTCTTAAAATGGAAGTACTCAGGTTTATTTGACAACCTATTTATTCTATTTGGTGTTATCTTCTGATACTACACAATTAGCTTTGGTAATTTGTTTTCACGGACTAACTTAGAAAAATTATTAAGTTTCCCAGGAGAAATTTTCTCCAACAATTCTAACAATTGATATATGAAAGACTAGATGGCAGCTAAGGTAGTTTCCGTGATATAAATTTCTCTGTAAGCCAATGTTAACCAAGAATGTATCAACAGATCTACAAGATGGTAAATACATTCTCTATTCTTTATCAGAAACTAAAGAATAGGAACATACTTGAATAAAAAGAAAGTTTGGAATTAGATTTGATGGTGAAATTTTGTTCATGCTCATTTGTTTATAAAATACTACTTTTTTTCCAAGCTCCAAAAATGAATTCTAAAGTTTGGAATTAGATTTGATGGTGAAATTTTGTTCATGCTCATTTGTTTATAAAATACTACTTTTTTTCCAAGCTCCAAAAATGAATTCTAACTTAATAAAAAATAGCTTGCCATTAGTTAGAAGGCCGGGATAGGACAGATACATCTCTGTCCCAAATTCCTTGCTCATGAATATCTATGAGGACTACAATCCCCAAATCTCTGACACTGCGTCATGGAATCTCAGAGTCAGAAAGGTCCCCAGAGGCCATCTAATCCAAACTGCAACTGAGGAAGAATCTCCTCTACAGAGATTTTTTGCAAGACACATCATATATGGCTTAACCCAGGTCAAGCCCATATAATGAAAGAAGCATTATTTAGTTAAAAGGCCACAAGCCAAGGAGAAAGATCTAAATTTCAGAATCATTTTGGCCATCAGAATGCAAACTGATTGTGTGACTTTGTTCAAGCACAGTTTCCCCTTTCAGTTTTTAAATTGGGAATAATGCTTTAGGTCTCACTAAATCACAAAAAAAAATGATTGTGTATTTGAAGAGTCTGGAGAACCTCAGAAGGAAAAGTAGTAAGAGGCCCATTAGTTTAGTAGAAAGATCCCTGGAAGAAGTCAGAAGACTAGGGTCCTGTTCAAGTTCTACCTCTTCTTAGCCACGGAAACTTGCACAAGATACTTAAAAGTTCTTGACCTCAAAATGAGAACAATATTCACAAGGGAAAAATAAAATCAACAGAAACATATGAGAACACTCCTTAACTTGCAAAAGTTGCTGTAAAAGTGGTAACATTATATAAACTCGAGGCATCATTATTGAGGTGGTTAGTTTCCAGTGGCATCAATTATATAATTAATCAACATATTAGTAGAATAAGACTTTCTATATACTTCTCAGCTCAACTTCATATTTTAATTAGGTATTTTTCCACACAAAGGCCAAAATTTTCTTTTTAAAAACAGCAGTTAGCCCTACGATCTAATGCCAATATATCAAAAAACCTTGTATGAAAGGACCTCAATACGCAAACTATCAACGGGCCCAAATCTATATTTTATTTTAGTTGGTAGATGATAACCATGATACACATACATACATACATACATAACACACACACACACACACACACACACAGCGCGTGCAAGCTACTTCACAAGGCATATTTACTTTGGACTGGAATCAATTATCATATTTTACATATAACCATACTGTGAATAGTGTGAATTCAAATACTATGATCACTTAGGGATGGTTGTTCATTATTCTCACTAATTGGGGACCTGGTACAAACATACCTCTTTACCAAAAAGAATTCTGCATCATTCTATCTTTATCAGGCAGACAGCAAATGAAGTCATAGACTGGGTTTATATGTAATTATAACACATACACACACACACACACACACACACACACACACACGGTCCATTTAGAATTTGGGGCTACATTAACACTGATTTGTCACAGAAAAACCAATTTCATGTTCTGAGATGTAAACAAACCTCTTTAAAGACCACCATAATAACGAGTTTGGGTACATCCAATTAGCCACTGTCCTTCACAGGGAGTAGGAAGGGAACAAGTTGTTTGGCATTTGCTTACCACCAATCCTAGTACAAGAGTACGGACTCTTTCCCCTATTTCTGGTGAAATGTCATTGCCGAACTGCTGCAAGGTAGTAAGAAATCTCTTCAATTTGCTGAGTTGCCTTGCTCCACAGGCTGGTGGTAACTGCTGATTAGCCAGAGAGGAAGAGGAAGAAGAGGAAGGCCCATTGCTAAAGCCATTGGGTGGAGATGGAGCTCCATTCAAAGCTGTGGGTGAATGGCTTGTGCCATTAGTTACTGTCAGAAGCACAAAGCAAGAAGAAAAATCAAAATAAAATTCCGTGGAAAGGAAGTCACAGGTAACTTTATTTCTAGTTGATTTTTATGATGTAAAAAACGTTCTGACTTTTGGTAAAATACTCTTGACTTCACAGATACCCCGGGTTGAAATTCTGCTTGATTAAATGGCCTGACTCCTCATAAATAAACACTTCTTATAGCCACACAGGCGCTGATAATGAATGGAGTCTGCTACAGAGTAGGGACAGCCTTCGCTCCCATGTGCACATATGCCAACCACCTGAAACATTTCAATCATGGAACAAGCAGCATTTGGATGTCAGCCTTTTGTCATAGGCTTATATCAATATAACAGGAATATTCTTCTCTAAACGGCTCCTCAACAAAAAATGTACATTTGGTGGAGACTAAATTTATCACTGAACATTTTTAATCGTGTTTTGTACACACAACTGACAGCTGTGTTTATAAAAACAGGACTTTCAAGTTTTAACCTTCTACCACCCAATTAGAAGGCTATTTTCTCCCCACATATTTCTTTAACCACTTCTTTAGGGGAAATGCAAATTGTCTGTAAGATGGCAGAATGCATACAGTATTAATTGAGAATTTATTTCCTGGAGTTGAAATGGGACATCCTCATTCAGAATTGTAATAAGAGACAGTATGGATGTATGCCAATTTGTTCAATTTATTTCTGATAAAACTGAGTTAGGCATTAATGTAATAAACTACAAGGACTCTGATAGAAAGAAGGATGCAGGTCTTTAAGGAAAGGGAATGGCAAAACCAGTAACTGTTTAAATGGTGACTTGACAATTATTTGTCAGATGAGGCTACATTCAATTCATCAATCTAGTGCAACTCTAATATATTCATCTCAAACAAGGTGCTATAACCAACAGATTATAAGCAATTCCTCGTTTATAATTCCTTTTAATACTATCAATACTTTGCTTTCTCCAAATGAGAAGGACTCACTCATGTTCAAGACCACTGATCGAGACTTTTATCTAAAGAATCATCACTAACTTGCCTGGAAATAACTGCTAAACTTGGGTCCTCAAAACAGTCATCTACATTTCCTGGTGACACTGGAGAACAGCAAACCAAAACAACAGAAGTTGACAGCATTACAGCTTGGCACCATTCAAGGTATCCAGCTCCTTATAAGTTTTAAAAGTTCTGTTAAATTACAGTGAGACATGATGTAAACAGCCTGGGATAGGTATAAAGCCAATTCTTCTACTCTGACAATTTTGAAGACACTAATACATAAATTCTTTTCCTTTTATAGGTTTCTTTCATTCACATGGATTCATGACACACGTTCAACAAGTAGTATGATTTTTCAATAGACAGCGATTTGTTAGCTCAACAAAATCCTTCTGACAATCAGAACCTTGGGAAGGACTGAAAAGAGCCACCTACTATGTACTGGAATACACTGGGGATAAGGGGAACTTTCTACTGTCAGAATGTTCTGTACTTCTCCCAGAAAACAGAAAGCAAATACACTTCCATGCACTGATTCATAAAGTAGAGCCAGAGCCAAACTGGCATAAGATATCAGAGATCTAAGAAATTTAAATCAAGAAGGATGCTGTTTGCTTTAAACTTGACCGTGTAATATTCCTATACTTGGCAATGCCCTAATATGATAAAGTTGTGTGGCTCCTATTATTCGTAAGAGACTTAAAAAGAAGACCTAATTGGTTTAGTTGGGGGAAAGGGGACACCTGGTACAGATATGAAATAACCTTGGAATGATTTTAGCATATCCCCAGGAATAAAGCAAAGCCAAACAAATCCAAACAAATAGCAGTATACCAAATTGGTTGTTCAAGAATAAGTTATGAGATCAAGATAACCTATGTTTAAAAATAGGTTTGTAAATTTTAAAAGTCCAATGAAATGACAGATAATAAAGCAATTAAGAAAAAAAGACAAACCACAAGGTACTGACTTAAGTCAAATTTAGGTATTATGGGGGAGTTGCACTATTACATTATACATGGATATCGGAGCTTTTGTTTCCCTATCCTCTACATGTAAAAAAAAAATGCAGAATGAAAAAAAAACACAGAAGAGAGGAAGAAACTAGGCTAATTACACGTTGTGGGTGTGAATGAACTGCTTCTTGGCGCTCCTTGGGTCGTTGGAGGAGGTGGCATCGTTGGAGGCGTCAGTCGGGATTGTGTCTTCACATCCACAGGTGAGTCTGGCATTGTGGAATGCTTTTCACTGCGATCTATAAGATACCACAAGAAATATATTATTTTACCTTTCACGCACAGAAAATCTTCACATGAGGTTAACTCTCCCCACCTCTCGTCCCACCCCACAATTCCCCCTCAAAGAGGCTGTGCCATGAATAAAAAAGGATTGATATTTTCTGTGGATAAAACAAGCCTATATACTGAAGCTCAAAACGGAACTGCATCATCAAAACCTCACTTAAGAAGGTGTAACACAGATGGTAGGCCCTCATTTATAACTAGGCTATATTATCTTCTATATTTATTTCTGGCACGTGCAGATGCTACCTTGATAGCACTGGATAGGAGAATGCAACTTCACTGGCAATTTGCAGCCAACATTAGCACACAGGAATAAATGGATGTGAAGGGAAAGACAGCAATGAATCCCCCCTTATGACAACTCAGGAAGAACGAAAGCCTCCTGCTTTGTTGCACAGGTGAGATATTGGTAGGAGCCAGCCCTCTTTGTGACTATTCTCTGTTAACACCTGCTGCCCCTGCCATTTTTTTGTTTTTAGAGCAGGTTAAATACTCCATGTCTCCTGGACATATTTTCCACTCCAATTTCTTTTCCTGTCCTATTCTAAAAGCATCATTAAATAAATACCATATGCCACATAATGAAGGCTATCTTTTCTTTATTTAGTAGTCATGTGTTTATAAGCCATTATTACAGGAGGTTGGTTGCACTATTTCAATTTACAATCTCAATGGAGGGGGAAGGGAGTGCTCCAGGAGGAAGAATGAATCTTAATTCTAAGTAACACGGAAAAATTAAAGAAAACCCACACTACATGTGGATCAAATAAGAACCTTTCATATCAATAAGAAGGGGAGAAGATTAGATCCTATTCGGCTACTCTCCTAGCCTGTTTTGAAAATAAGTTTTGATGGTGTTAAAGAATAAAAGATTTTATCTTGAATATAAAAATATAGTACCCATTGTATAGTAAGAGAACTTACTATATACTCTCCCATTAATAAATGCCTCATATCTAATATTAATCAATAATTAAGGGGAAACTTTCAATAATGCATTTTCCCAAATGATATACCTTTCCTACCAGATGTTATCTCATAATCTAATTCTATTTTACTTTTATCAATCAAATGTTCTCTGCAAAGTAACAGGTACCTCCATAAACCATATATCAGAAGTACCAAAGAATTTTTATTTGTAATCTTGCAAATTGCTAATTGTCCTTAGGGGGAAAACATCCCCAAGTTGTAAAATGCTATCTCTTCTCCTTAAATAATAACTAATACTACATGTTTAAACTTCATTTTAAAAGCAAAATAACACAAAATACTGATGGAGAATTATTTTTTTTTAAAAAGCACTACTACTTTTTTCAGATAATTTTTCATTAATTCATTTAGGAGAAATTCCCAACATGATCATTATTACTAATAAATGGAAAAGAAAATTCCAGATTTGTAAATTATGGCCCTTTCATAAAACCACCTCACATTCAGATCACCATAGATTTTTTTTTTCTCAAAGTCTCTTTAGTAATCCTCATTTATATTGAAATAATGGTAATATTGTATTAGGGAGAGGACATGATGGAATATTCAAATAATCTAACAGTCACAACAATTAATAAAAAAAAAATTTCATTGCTCTGGTTTATGGTATCAGCAATGCAACTTCAAAGTCCAAAATGTTGACTAAAGGGCAATGTCCTTACAGATTAGTGAAAGTGTATTTAACTGGTGGTAGCCGTACATATGAAAATTTTTTTATCTTGTTACTTAGATCACAAACTTATCTTCTTATTACTAAGCTAGAGCATTTCATCTACAAAAAATTTATTCTAAATAAATATTCATAGAGGCTAAACTCAAATTTGCTTCTGCAATAGTTAAATTCATCTCACATTCTACTCACCTCAACCAACCTCAGCAACAAGGGAATAAATAGCTTTCAGCTTATGTTGCAACTGAGGGAAGAGTACAGCAGCAAATACAGACCTTCCTAAATAAAGGCAAATATTTCTGTCATGCCAAGAAAGGAGGGAGAAAGGGAGGCTTGCCAGAGCTGGTTGGGAGATAACAGTGGGAACGGCTGGTCCATCTGGTTTTCATTCTGCTAACACTCATATTGAACTGTTAGAGAAGGCAGTCCAGATACACAGATTTGAAGCACGTGGGTGCACAGACGGAGAAAGGAAGGGGGTGGGGCAAGGCTTAGAAGGAGAGGGAAGAAAAAGAAAAAAATATATATGAGAGAGGAACTAATGGAGTAAGGAAGTCCAGAGAAGGAGGATTAAATGATGAGGGAAGAAAAAGAGAAGAGGAAAAATAGTTACACTCAATAGCCGGGGTGTTTTTGTTTGTTTGTTTTTTAGCAGGGGACAGCTCCAGCTTATAAAGAATCAGCACACCTCTCTGGTTTGCTTACTAATGACAAAAAAAAAAACCCAAACTTGGAATCACTCTTGGATTTTTTTTTCTCTTTTTGTTCATTATAGGCATACTCTTAACATTTGAAGTTTTTGAACGTTTGCCTTTATCCAAATTTGCCAAATAATTATTTTCTAAAAACACTTAGTATATATAACCCTTGCTGAGAAAAATAAATTCCCAAAGTAGTTGCTTCTCAAAAATTTTCAGCTCTTCTAAACAAAAACTATAATTCTAAAAACACAGCCAGAAGACAACCAGGTGACATTAGCAAAGGTTCTGGCATGGCTAGCTTCATTTTAATCAAATGGAACTTCAACCCAAAAAGTCCAGCAAACTTGGACAAAGTGAAGTCCATCTGTAACTTATTCTGCCTTACTGGATGCAATCACTCTTGGAGAGAGATGGTGAAATAACAAACCAGTACCCATACTCACTCACTCTCTCACTCTCTCTCTCTCTCTCTCTCTCTCTCTCTCTCTCTCTCCCCACCCCACCCCTCTTTCTGGTGCAGAGTTAACATAAATTCAGAAAATATGTTTCAAGTATGCTGATATCTATTACACTTGTTTTGCATTATATTCTTTTAAAATTCCAAACACACACACACACACACACTTGAAACTTTTATAGCAATGAGCACAAGCTATGATTGAATCACAGAAGCATTTAACTCCTTTTTTGAATTAGAGAATATGGTAAAACCAACTTTAAATTATGACATTTCATGTGTAGATATCTGGTTTATGAAATTATAGTGTTCTTGTCCTACATTCAATTTTATGAGTTATTTTTACAGCTATATTTAGTTAATTTAGGTGAACAGTGATATTTAGTGTAAGAAGAGCCAAAAATCTGAGACAGAGATAGATAGAAAAGTATATGTTGAAGAGGTATGCATTGTCAAATGGATCAACCTTACTTCTCTTAACCTAAATGATTTAGGCCACTTTTAAACAAGATAATCTTTCATATATGGTAACATTTCAACTCGTATGGCACACATCCAGGTCAAAAGTACCAAGGAAAGTTAATGCATGGAAGAAAATATGGTATATATAAATACATTACTGATACCATTTCAATATCCAATTCAGTGTCAGGTCTTTTTAAAAGTGGTATGTTTTCCATTTCCTTTTTTAAATAGGAAAAAAAAGAATGCTATAATATGCTGTGGCATTTATTTTACTTTTACTTAGTTCAAACAGTTCCAGATGTATATTTAAGGTATGAAGAACTTTTAATAGACACCCCATTATTCCACTTTTTCAATATCTTAATATATAATGATAGCATGAATAACAGTGACTGGTCATGTGTATCCACACAGATGCATATTCATATACCTATGTGTACATATACATACACACACAATACCCTGCTAACACAGCTTATATTACTTAGGATAATGAGAATTTATATGTTTTTTGAATTTGAAGTTTCATCCTCTACTTTGTACTTTATTTCTGTGTGCACATCTTAACTCTTCTACTAGGCTGTGTGTTCCAAATAGAAAGGAACAGTATTTTATTCCCCTTTGTATTCCCTTCAGTGTCCAGCCCAGTGTGCTGCACATAATAGGTACTCAGTCAGTCAACAAGGATGTTCCAGGCACTATGCTAATCAAAAAACATGATTCTGCTGCCCTCAAGAAGCTCACAGGGGAGACACCATGAAAATACCTTTTTTATATTCAACAAACAAAAATTTATTGGACTGGATCTATCCAATGGAAGTAACACTTGCTTGAATCAATTCATAAGCTATACAATATGGAAGGGAAGGACTAAATCATGGTGACTGCAATAATAATAACAATGATAGCAGTTTACACTTGGACAGTTACTTACCTTTAAAAATATTTGTGAAAGAATCAAGACTAGAACTAACTAAATTTCAATGCTTCCAAATGGAATCCAGTGATTGATGATGGCAAATCTTTTTTTTTCCTTGGGCAGGGAGAGGGTAAAGAGAATACATAAATGAACTCAAATTTTTACTTCATCACTTTCCATATAACAGATGTAGTTCTCTCTGGTATGGAAGCCATTCCTTTGTGTTAAAATTATGAAACAGACCCTGCCCCCATAAAAGGTGGGGTTCACAAAGAAGTTGGCCGATTTCTAAAGGCTCCTACAGCTGGTTATCAGTAGAGCTGGGACAAGAAACCAGTTCTATAACACAGCTAATGGGGACGGCTTAACTGATCAAGCTTGCCACCAAAGGTTATTTACTTCGACTATTTCCTTTGAAGACTTAGATATAGAAGAAACATCAAAAAAAAAAAAGGGCACAGACATAAACTACCGGAAACAGCTCACGCCTTCATTATCATAAAATAATCTGCCAGGGTCTCTTTTGTCTAGCTGCTGCTTCCTCCCGAGTAAGAAAGTGTTATTCTTATAATTGTAAAAATCTCCCCAAATCAAAGACACCAGTTAATTCTATTTTATTTACAAGTGAAAATTATAGAATGGATTTTGTCCATATGGACAGTGTGGTGTGGTGCACTGAGAAAGGACATACAGGCCAGGAAAGAGTATGACACCTGAGCTTCAAGCTCCCAACTTTTCATTAACTTTTT